GTGGTGGTCGTGGTGGTCGTCGTAGTAGTAGTAGTAGTAGTAGTAAATATAGTAGTAATAGTAATCCATCATGACAGGAGTAAATTCACAGCTGCACAAACTGCAATATTTGTAACAATGCTACAGCATGATAGCAACCGGAGGTTTATTGTAGGCGCTTGGTGTGGATAAACACTATCATCACGATTGCTGCGTTACTCATCTGACATTGTTCAACCTCAGGTAGTTTCAGGTGGGTACTTCCCCCATATGAGAGCTTCATAGCCCTTATACAGTCCTAGTGCCCCTCATAGGCCTTATGTAGGCCTTATGTAAGGGTACCCACCTGGTAACTACCCACTTGAACACTCTTTTGATTCAAGTAACTCCAAGTGTTGGGTAGCTATCAGATAGGTAGATTAAAGGAGGCCTATACAGACCTTATATACCCCCTCTTACACTTACGTGAAGTATTTGAGTCTTTCAGAAGGGGCTACCCACCTGGTAACTATCCGCCTTGGGGTGTGGTTGATTTATCCCCTTTGATTCATTCATTTCTACTGTTTGGCAATACGGCATAAGGCTGGCACAGAATTCAGTCTCTGCATTCCAGTCCATTCCCCCCGATATCAACCACCCGTACCCTAAACCTTAACCAAAAACACAACTAAGGATTCATGAAGAAATTAGAAGAACCATGATTTCCTCTTAGGCCATAGACCCCCCACCGTCTGCGGATTAACTCCTAGACTCTGAGCTCTAGACCCTAAACTCATCATCATTGCTAGCATTTGGTTTGTAACTGATGAGAAGATCACAGAATAGACTCACTCAGGTGGCGTCCCTGCGAAGCGAAGCGCAGAGACTGGAGGCAGTCGAGGGTGCACCACTCCCTGTGCCTGCTGCAAGCATCTCGGTTTAAGTTTTAGGATAGGCCCCTGGATATCCTTAAATGACCCCGATAACCCATATCGTATAACCCTATAAAGTCCCTATGTGCCCCTAAACCGTAAACCTCAGAGGATCTATGTAGTGAAAACTTCGGCCCCAAAAGTTTTTGTAGGGGTAACTTGCGGCCAAAGTATCTACCATATATAGGTACCTGGCCCGTTTGGGTTCAAGGGTTCAGCGTGTAGGGGCTTAGGGTTTATAGGGTTTAGTGGTGTTTTGTTAAGGTTCGGGGCCTTTGGATTCAAGATGAAACTTTCAAGGCTCGGATTTACGGCGTTAGGCATAAGGTTGGCTGATCTCACCGCTGGCACTTGCCGAGATGTGTGTGTGTGTGTGTGTGTGTGTGTGTGTGTGTGTGGGTGTGTGTGTGTGTGTGTGTGTGTGTGGGTGTGTGTGTGTGTGTTTGCGTGTATCCCAAGGGTCCATGTAGCTCTGTAGCTTCGGCCCTAAGGTAGTTATATAGGAACCACTCTGGGCTCTAAGCATATGCTATGTAATGTAAAAGCAGCAAACATGGTTTGTCTGAGCATTGTTTCGCATGGAGGTCTCGCGCACCTTGGCAGCCAATGCTACTGCCGCCACCACCACACGTACCGTAACTCGTAGCAATAGCGCCGCCACCCACCACTTTTGCGAGTTCTGCACGCCGCTGGTGCAAACATCAGATATATGGATGACACTGCCAGAAGTAGCATCACAAGCTGAAGATGACAACCGTAACATTGATGTAGGGACGACGTCATCCGACTTCGCATCCCATGCGAAGCAATGCTGGCGCCTTGTTGCTCTTGTCTGAGGCATCGTGGACCTGATCAACCACCTTATGGTGTCCATGCTGAACGAAGTCAAAGAGATGCAGTTGGCAACCGTGAAATTCTGAGGGCTGCGCATATGGCTTGACTAACTATAATGAAAATCGAACGGAAAAGAACATGGAAAATTAAATGGAAACTTTGGGAATATAGGGACTTAAGGAACTTAATCTTAATTTTGGAATATAGGGATTTAAGGAACGTAATGTTGGTTGCAAGGTTGCAAACAGCCCTGCGCAAATTGAAAGCAGAAAGATGCCTTCAATTGAATGGTTTTCATGGGTCATGTAGGGGTTACATTCAGGTTTATAAGGGTTATATGGGGGTTCTACAAGGTTGATTTGAAATACTTGTATCAAGAATGACGAACATAATGGGCAGCGGATTTGCTTCGACTAGAAGCTGTAAATCTCCTCGACTCCAAGCCAAAGGCTGAACCAAGTGGTTAAGGGTTTAGGGTTATATAGTCCTCACCTTAACTAGATAGAATATGGAACTGCTCAATATCATAGCAATTAAGATTCAAATATACCCCGTAGTCTATCTACTTACCAGGGACAATACATATCTATATATATATATATATCCCTAAACCTTAAGCCTTACACCCCATACATCACTTTCTATCTACTAGGGGGCTACACCTCACCTGACTTGAACCCAAGTGGCGGGTTCCGTGAACCTCGCAAGCTGTAGCCAGGCTGCTTTAGGGTTTACTCTCAAGTTGAAGCCAGGTCAAAAGCGAATTCCCCCTGTAGTTACTAGTGGTGGTTCGTGATATATGGGGGCTTAGAAGACCGGGGGCGCCCCCCTGCGGGATCCTTATTATCAGGATTGTAGAGTTATTGGGTGCATATGAAGCCCCTCTATGTATACATTTCCCATATCTACCTAGTCCCTGAACCTTAAACCACCTCAAACCCTAAACCCCAATAGATAGCAACCCAAAATAGCCTTGTTGCTGCAGCTTCATGATGCTTTTCTGAAAATTTGATCAGCGTTGGAGATTCCAGTCCTAGCCTACAGCCCTGCCTAGAGGAGGGTCAAGTGTTCAGGATTCAAGTTGGCTATAGTCTAAACTCCTGAACTGGGGGGTCGGGGAGTATTGTAGGGGCTATTAAGGGGATGCTAGGAGTTTAGACTAAAGCTCGAATGGAAAGGAGCATAGAGAACCCTGCCAAAGTGGCCCGGCAAGGACTGGCATCTCTCAATGCACCCTGGAAAGAGGAAGCACGGCTTAAGCCCTGCGAGTCATGCTCGCAGCATATAGATGCTGTAGGTGCCACTGCTGGGTGGGCATAGTAGCTCAAGTCAACGGCGTGAGCCTACCACTGCCTTGACATACCAACCCTGGCATTTCCCCAGAAAGCGGCTATCCCCTTGCTGCTGTGTGTGGATGTATAATGTCGAGGTCCATATCTTGCATCACAGTGGTACAGTCCACAATCGGCGTGCACAAGCGAGAGGAATTGATTGTAGCTCATAGATTACCTGGCCTCGTAAGTGCGATCTGCGGCATCAGCAAAAAAAGTCTTCATACTGCCGGACAGTGAGAGGATTCGGATTAACTCGTCCACATGATCGTAAAAACCCATCAGTTATAAGTCTTTTGGGGTTCCGGGTTCACGCCTTTACACTGAGGACTATAATGGTTGTCCTTAGAGTTTCTGGTGTTCATGGTTTCTCGCTTCTCCCCGAAAGTGCGAATCCAAGTAATGCACAGTGAGGGAGCCGTCATTCCTCACATCTTCCTTCCTTACTTGTCATGTGTGTACTTTTCTACATTATGGGAACCCTTACCACAAACCAACTGGCCCAGTGCTCGCCACCGCCCCCGGCAACAACCAAACATTTCAGATGTTCTCATGCATGTTTTGGGGGCTTTGGATATGATGCCGGTTGCTGTCCAATTGGGATGTTTCAGCCCAGGTTGGGGGTTTGGATATACTTATTTGGGATATGTTGGGATAATGGAAGAGAAAAATGGAAACTGCTATTTAGGGTTTAGGGCTTAGGGTTTAGGAGGGGATTGTGTTTTCCTTCTGTAGAAAGGTTTTCCTTCTAGCCTCTGACCATTGGGTCTTACCTTAACCCCCAAAGTAAGTAAATAATAGTTCAATTAAACAAAAAACAGTTCAAAAGGCCATTACTTTACATACATTAGGGGTCCAGGTGCTTCATAAGGCGCGCGAACGGCCCAACGTTTCACACAAGTCCGGCTAGGAATGAATATCTTCCGTGTGCTGGGTCTGTCGTTGAATGTTATGGGGGGGGGGGGGTATCTTAACCCTCAAACCCTAGACCCTAAACCTTTTCGGGGGTGATGCATATGGCATGAAATAATGGCTCTAAGCTCTCCCTCTGCTGTCTCAGTCCCGCAGACCCGAAGGGTTCCATGTAGCTATATAGGCCAATATGGTTATAGAGTATAGGATTGAAAGTTTAGGATTTAGGGTTTAGGGTCTAGAACTTAGGGTAGGTATATACTACATACTTGGACCCTGAAGTAAGGGAAGACCGTTGGGCCCAGTATAAGCTATATAGCTACATGGACCCTTTGGGAGAGGACCATAAACTGCCCTAAGATCTATAAACGCTAAACCCTAAACCTTAAACTAGCCTATACTCTATACACCCGCCAAACCTGCATTGGTTACATCCTGGTTGTCCAAACCCCTACCCAGACCCCTGGAAGGATCTAAACATCAGAATTCCTATATCGACCCACGATAGCCCCTATTTAATTCCGCAGATGATTCCCGGCGATTTAATGTTGTGGGGGCCTGGGGATCCCCTGTAGGGTTGGCAGCTTTGAACTCTCGGGATGAAGCTTCATTGCAGCAGTTTCCCTTTTCTTTTCCCAATCCCCTTATATCCTTCTGTATCCCTACAACTGCAATTTTCATGTTTCTGCATTCTTCTTTTTACCTTATATCTCCCTCTTGGATTGAAGCCATGAAGCTGAAGTTTCTCAAAGCTAGCTTTCCAAAGCCTCAGCTACCCCCGTCTGTGTGGGTATAGTCTCTGAATTAACGGCGAGTCGCTGTACATACTGCAAAAGATCAGTGTCCTTCTTACAGGGGCTCTCGACCGCGTAATTTTTGTTTGAACCTTCATGTTTTCACCTAGCTCTAACTACTTGGGTAGCTGAACAACCACGCATCCCCTGCCTAGCCCTAAGCACTAAACCACAAAGCCTAAACGGGCCTAAACCTAAACCCCTAATCCCTCCCCTCAAAAAGAAAAAGACGCCCAGGTGGTGGCTCCGCCGCCGCTGCCACCGACTGCAAAGAAGAGCCGCAAGGTCACCGTCTGGGTTGCAGGGTTTAAGGTTCATGGTTTAGGTTTATAGTCCCCCTTAAGTAGATAGAATACGGGATATACAGGGATCTTATTATAATATACCCAAAGCCATATTCTATCTACTTAAGGGAGACTATAGGGATTAGGGTTCAGGGTTTGGGGGTTTTCACGGTTGGGGTTCAGAGAGAGAGGGAGAGAGAGAGAGAGAGAGAGCGAGCGCGGGTGTAGGATTAAAACCTCTGACTTTTCTGAGCTGAGGGATTACGGCGTAGGCTTAGGATCGAGGCATTGGGGTCGAGGATTACGATCTTTGCCAATGGTTGCGGGCCTTAGCAGGGAGATCACTTAATCTAAGGTGTCAGAGTTTAGCGCTTGGGATGTAAATCTCAGGGAGAGTCATAGGGCGTAGGATGTTACTTATAACGTGTGGGGCCTAGGCGTTAGGCTTTTCAATGTTGGATGCCTAGGAGACAGTATGAAAAAAGGTGTAGGGTTCTGGGCGTGGGATACTTCGAAAGGTCTAGAACTTGCAACGCCCTGAATATTTGTTTCTTTTCTCCAATGTGGGCTAGGGTTTCGGGACAAGACAGTCTCCTTTGTTTGTGCTGGGCTTCTTCTGCTTTTCAGGGCGTTGATATTCTACTCGTTGCCTGACGGCTTCGGGCAAGCCAGTTTCTTTTCCCTTGCTACAGCCTTAAATTCCATAAGCGCGGGGTTACTACAAGTGGTTGTGATGGAGTTCGCCACCCTAACCCTAAGCCTTCATCCCCAAACCTCTCAAACCCTAATCCTAAACCCCAAGGCCTAAGCCCGCGAACACCTAAGCCCTATATCCTAAACCCTATATAACCCCTGTAAAACCCCTATAACCCCCTTTAAAGGTACAACCTACAAAAGCTCAGGCCGGGCTTTCCCGGCAACATGCCTGTCCCTACACTGGAACCTCATCCAAACCTCCAGACGTTATCAGCCACATGCAAAACCCCAAAGCCTACATATTATGGGTTTAGGGTTTACGGGTTAGGATTATATGGGGAGTATGTAGGGCTTTATAGGGGTGACATACGGGTTCTATGGGGATAGATGGAAAATGGAGACTGTATGCAGGGATTATAGGAATCATATAGGGGTATAGTATAGGGGTTACAAAATACTGGGCTGCTGTTAACGAGCCTACATTTAGTTACTATAATGAGGAAACCCTGTCTCTTACGATATACCCATATCGTGGTAACTCACTCTAAGTTCCTCAACAGCAACCCAGTACCCTAGTCATCCCTATAGAATCCCAGTTTCCATGTCATTTTCCATGTTCTTTCCCATGTGATTCTCCATTATTAGGGTAAATACCTTAAACCCTAAACCCTAAGAACCCTAAGCAGATTATGTTATGAACCTCGTTGTCAACCGTAGGCCTGCAAGCTTTTGTTCAGGCTTTAAGGCTTGACAGAAGGAGGTGGGGGCCTTCAACACCTGTACATTTAAGGGTTTAGGGATTAGGGGTTATAGGGTTTAGGGATTAGGGGTTATAGGGTTAAGGGTTTAGGGTTAAGGGTTTTCATGTCCTTCATGCAGGATGTTCCATAGAATCCACCTTAAGGCCTCTCCCTGCCCCTCACTGTTCCGGCAGGCTAACCAAGGTTCACGAAAGCTCGTCACGGCCGGAAACGATTCTGATGACGTAGTCGAGGTGTGGCGGTCGTGTGGTTTTCCAGACTGTGGATCCTTTTCCTAGGTTCCTAGGGAGCCCAATATGGCTTAGTCA